CAGGCACCAGAAAATCCCCATGGACCGGGGAGCTGAAAACTGCTAATTTGATATAACTCTAATTAGCAGGGAAAGGGTTAAAAGCACTAACATTAATATGTACATTATTACAGCTCAGGGTTAAGAGCTCATTGAGATGAAAAGGGCAGTTTGTGGCACTAAATGTCTCCTTTCAGAGAGCCCACAGACTCCAGGCAGGCATTAATTAATCTCCTTTTACTCCTGTTTCCCTTTCACTGGAAAACGCTACCTAGCCCCTCCAGTTCCACATATCTTCTGTATCTTAGCAGGTGACTCAGCCCTCTCTCAGCAGGTACTTTTAAATCCATTTCGCAGCCCTGCTACAAGCTTCTTCAACATTGCTACGGGCAGAGGAGGACCACAAACCAGACCATCCACAAGCTTCACACTGATAGAGAAAGCCCCAACCCTCATCTCCCACCCATAACCTATAGAGCATCCTTCTCTCGCCTACCAGTCTTTTATCTGGAGCAGGGTCCTCAACTCGTTATCAGGCTAAACGGGGCAACCTGAGTCCCAAGTTATAAAAGGCAGCAAAATGCAGGTTTTGGGGTTGTTTCTTCCCATGCTGGGTTGGCTGGAGAACAGTGCCTGGATGAAGAACTCTCTGATATCTCAAGAACTTCTCTAAGGATGCGTTAGTTTCTCCTTGTGAGACCTTTTTGCTAAAACAGCATCCTCAGCCAGCTGTAGTGGGTGAGTTGTATGTGCACGTAAAGGGGAAAGAGAAGGTGCCATCTCCTACAGCCTGGCCTAAGGTCCCCTGGGGTAAAATGCGTGTGAAGGGCTTAAATCCTACTTGGCTGTTATGGAAAACCAAAATTTGTGCCTGTTAAACTCAAGCTGATGGACTCTTCCTAACTCTTTGTCCCATGTTGTGCCAGGCTAGTGTGGGAGGAAAAGATGTATATATAAGTACAAGCTCATAGATAATATATAAAGCTGTATTAGCGTATGAAAATGCATGTGTATATGTAAATGCAAGCTCACGTGCAGATGAGCCTGAGAGGGATTTGGGAATGGCTGGCAGGAGCAATGTGCTTGCCCAGACTTTTATTTCCTTGGAAAAATGGGTTGTAACACCCTTGCCTTTCTAATCTCAACCTCTTCCCTTTCCAGAAAAATGCATAGAACAGGCCAACCTTACCTATTTCTGCAGCCAGGCAGTGTTATGCTCATTACTAAGATAAGTCCCTAAAACATTTTAGCCTGAAATTGTTAATTCCTACTCTGTCATTATTTTTCCTGATAACAGCAGCTAAAGGGGGAGCTTGGTGGGAGGTGACCAAGCCTGGCAGCTGGGTTTTCTGGCCACCCTCTCCCCTGGGATTAATCCAGCTGGGTACAACCCTTGATGCAGCCTTTCCTCCCTGCATTTAAGCAGGGGGTGGGAAAAAAAAAAACACGCAATGAAAAGCTGTATTTTCTTCTTGCAGCAGCCTGTTTGCACAAAATGAGTGGGAAATATGCTGTTTGGAGACCAGATCTGATTGAAGTTGGCCACTTAAGCTCAAAAAGTGATGGAGGAGGGAACTAAGAGTGAGATGGCTCTCTCCAGGAGGTGGGAGAGGAAAAAAAAGAGGTGAGGAAAACCAGCACGTCTTTTGCTGGCTCTCATGGAAGCGGTATTTAATGTCTCATGTTTCTACAGGCATGGCCAGGGAAGCAGCTGATGCTGTTAATAAAACTCGTGTTGCAGGGAGCAGCTTTCCCAGCGGCAGCTGAAGCCATCCCAGATAAAACAATAAAATTGAGTGGACTCGATATTTGCCTCCCCAGGGATCCGTGTGGGATGCTCCAGCCTGGGCTCTTTGAAAGCTCGCTCCTAGGTAATTCCCCTTTTATCTACGTGCAACAGCTGCCCCTTTTGGTCAGCTTTTGGGGAACCCAAAGGCTTCAGCTTTGTGCATGAAAGACTTTCCTCCTGCTGCAGGGTCAAGGGATGAGCAGTTCTTACCATTCCTTTAATTTCTTTTTTTTTTAGGGGATTTTGTAGTGTTACAGCTCCTATTTGCTCTGGGAAAGGGTCAGGTGGGCTTGTGTCCTTACTTTGCCTGGCAGCAAACATCCCAGGCCAGCATCCCTGAGGCTGGGTTCTGCGGTTTGGTCTATTTACTTATTAAATCTGGTGATTTTAAGTCACGGCTGGAGCTGCCTTTGAGAGCCGTATCCCAGCATGGTGAATAAAGCGGCTCAAGGGGGGCTTGATTCCCCGCTATTCCTGCAAGAGTTTTGCCCCAGAAGGCAGAGCAACTGTTAGCAAAAATAAGTGGTTAACAAGGCTCTGTATGTTTAGCATCTCCCCTGCACCCGTGTGCCTTTTCATGTTCCTTTTGCTGGATCACAAAGCCGTCCCTCAACCTGGCTGCGTTCGCAGGGGATAGCGGCCCATGACCAAAGCTTCAAACCAGCATCCCTCTTTGCCCAGGGATGTACATTGGCATCTCCACCGGGAAATGCGGTTGTCCCGGGGCGATGCTCATCCTCTCCTCCGGTGGGAAAAGGTCCTTCTCACCTGTGATCTCGTTCTCTTCCAGGTCGATGGTCTCCAGGGCAGCGACGGCGGCCAGGGGCTCGGGGAAATGCCGAAACCTGTTGCGGGAGAGGTTGATGGCCCGGAGGTGCAGCAGGGAGGTGACCTCCTCGGGCAGGCGGTGCAGGTAGTTGCCTGCCAGGTTGAGCTCTGCAGTTTGGGGAAGAGAGGAGAGAGGTGGTGGGATGGAGGGTGGAAAAGATGGGGAAAATAATTAACGCATAGCTTCATTTATGGCATCTGTCCCCCATGGCCTGCTAGGTCCAGCAATGGGATGCCAACTCCAAAAATGGGATTTTTTTTGCTTATCTCCATGGTTTGCCGTTGTATTTTTGCCTGCTGTGAATAGAGCTTTTAGGAGCGATGTGTTTCTTGGCTTCCTCAGGCTTTCCTAATGAAACCCATGCAGCATTTCACAAGCAGGGGCTGTAGAAATAAGCAATATTTCTTAATGAAGTCAGTGCAATTCCCTCCCCAGTGGACATTTGTGATGGCCTAAGACTAGTTTTCTATCTTCACGTGCCTGAACCCCTTCTGAGGTATAAACAGAGTGGTGAAAGAAATGCATTTATATGTGAAAAATACCTGTTCTACAGAGTTTAACCCTCTGTGATGCTTTTTCTCCCCCAGAAACGAGCTCCTGTGGGGCCAGGAGCAGCAGCCCTCTCTGAAAGGCCATTAGCCATGGGAACAGGAACCCAAATCCCGCTCTCCCAGTGCCCTTCTCCAGTGACACGGGGTTTTCTGCTCTATAAATACCCACGCAAGCTGCCCTGCCCCTGTTAATACCTGGTATTTATAGGTCCTGCCTTTTTCAGGCTGGTGCAAGGCTATCCCCAGCCCTGGGGCATCTCTCCCCTACAAGAGCCCTGCTGAGACCTGATATGTTCATCACCAGAGTGACTTGTTCACTGGCAGAGCCCAGCCCTTGCTGGGAAACGAGACTTTTTTTTTTCCACCCCCTTCAGGGCTCGCTGTGCTGTCTAGAAAATGAAAAGTGATTAATTTTTTTTTGCTCAACATGTTTCTTTTTCTTCAGCCTAGGGGAATTTTCATGGATGATGCTCCAGCACAACACGGGAAGCCTCCCCGGACACCCACCATGGCAGCACTCGTGCAGGACGTTGTATGAGCAAAATCTTGGCTTTTAAAAGGTGCCAGAGCCCCAGGTGCTGCTGCAGGCAGGCAAAGCCCCAGTGCAGTCCCAAGTTGTCCAAAACCACGGCGCTGGATGCTCCAGCTCCTTGCACGACCATGTTTTAGCAGATTGGCTTCTGGCTGCTTTCGCTGGGCTCCGCAGGGACGTGTCCCCATGGCACCAGCCACGCACCGATGACCGTCCCCATCTCCTGCAGCGAGCGGAGAGTGAGCAGCCCTCGCTGATGTCTCACGACGGGGGCTAATTAGCCAGCAGCAAGCCAGCATGCCTGCTGCAGCCTGAAATGCCCCATCGCTGCCATGAACCGTTATGCCCAGGCTGCCTTTTCTGTTCTCTTTCATCCCCAGCCCCATCCTTGGAAGGAGTTGGAGGATGATGAGTGAACCCATAGCAGCCCAGCCACTGCCAAAAGTGAAGGTGACAGGGAGTGAGTTTGGGAGGGTAGGTGAGAGCAAAACCAGTGCCTTCTTCCTGCAAGGGCTGGAAAGGGTAAAGAAAAATGGATTTTAATTTTTTTTTTAGGGGTCTGAACTAGTGCTTGGAATGAGCTTCAAGTGCAGAGGAGCAAAGACTGCTGTGGGGGAACCCGTGGGTGCTGTGCACCCTCTGCAGCAACCTGGGGGCTCTTTGCTGGATCCTGGGGGTTTGGAAGTGGGGGGCTGTGGAGCAGTGGGGCTGTCCGTTACCTCTCAGCTGGCTGAAGGTGGTGACGAAGCGGCTGCTGAGGGACTTCAGCTCGTTGTTCGCCAGGGAGATGTGGTGGATCCCCGCGGTGACGCTCCTCATGGCTTTGTAGATGCCGACGGGGAAGGTCATCAGCTTGCAGTTGGCCAGATCTGTCCCCGGAGAGACGCAGGCACCTTATAATGCAGGGATGCAGCAGCGCTTCCCATCTTGTTGTCCACCCCTTAACGCTCAATTTGCCCGTCTGGGTGTTGCCACCCATGGGTGCTGTTATATCCCTGCCATACTCCTCTCCATTGCGGGGATTGTTGCAGTCACCTCCGCAAGCACCCGGAGTTTGTTCCCATCAGCGGTGCAAAGGCCGTTCTCCCCTAAATCCCATTACAAACACTTCCCCGCTGCAGTGTCCTTTCGGAAACCCTCAGCCAGTGTATCTATCTCTAATAACTTCATAACTTCGGTAATCCCCCTCCCCTATGTCCCTAACCCCCTGAGCAGCACAGGGATGCCTCCTCCACTGCTGACCAGGATAGGGATGGAGCAGGGCTTTCCATGGGCGTGATCCTGCCTGGATTTCTCATGGTGCTGGGTGCTTCCCCCATGGCAAGCAGCAGGGAACGGGGGGAAAAGGATTTGGCTGTGTTTCTGACCTGTTGGTATTTTTCGTTTTCTCTGGGTTGTTTCTGTTTCCCCTCCTGGGATATGCCAAGGGATGGAAAGCCTGCATCCCGGCCCCGTGATGCTGAGCCTGGGCTCTGCTGCCTGCCCCCCTCCCCAAAGCCATGGCGGGGGCTGCACGAGCTCGGTCCTCCCTCGCTTATCGTCTCGCTCGGGAGGGCGTCGAGAAGCTGAGCAGCGAAGCTCTGACTCTCGGCGTACGCTGGTTTATACCCTAGGGCCGGGAATCCAGCGTGAATAAAAATGAGCGTCTTTCATCGCTCTCTTTTGATGATATTAGCTAGAAATGGGAGAATTGCAGAAAACCACAATTCTGACAAGGCATCCCGGGGAAAGGTCTGGCTCCTGCCCGTCGCTTGCAAGGAGGGACTGTATCCCTGGGGCACATCCCATGGGATTATGTGCCATTGCTGGGAGCCTGCTCAAACTTTGGCGAGGGGGGCTGAGAGCCCTTTGGGGGAGCCTTTCCCTTCCCCAGGGCTGCAGGAGCCTTGGGTGCAGCCCCCAGAGGGGGGGCTGACAGCTTTTTTTTTTCTTTTTTTTTTTTAGCCCATAGCAGCAAAAAAAGAGCCCTGCTCCCGGATACCTGATCCTTCTCCGGGCCCCAAGCAGGAGCCGAGCCGGAGTGCCGGGCTTACCAAGGGAATCCGTTTTGTTCTCCACCGTATCGTTCACCTTCCTGGCCACCCGGGCCACCGCCTCGCCCATCCTCTTCTGCATGCGGGAGCCTGGTCCCGGTCCCGCCGGGGACCCGCTTTGGCCGGGGGGATCCAGGGCTGGAGGAAGAAACCAGCTGCTCCGACCTCTCGGGAGAGGGATGCTAAAAATAACCAGTGGGATCAGCGTTCCCAGGGGAGGGAGGGAGGCTCTGCTGGGGCTGGCATGGCCCTCAGGGTATGAGATTCCCAACTTTCCAGGGTGATAGGTTTGGCATATGGGGATGCATCCCCATATCCCAGACCAGGGGAGGGGATGCATCCTCTTTCTCTGGTGACCTGGCCCTCGGGGCACAGGATTCCCAGCTTTTTGGGCTGGTACTTT